CACCACAAGTTGAGTAACCTAGGATTTGTATTGTCTGAGGGCCAGAGGGGGCTGAGCCCAAGGAGAGTGGCAGCAATATGTCAACAACCAAAACCAGAACTAAAAATTCCTAATAAAAGTTCAGATGCAATCATTCCTAGGTTATGGTAAAACTATCGTAAGACAGTGGATTCCTGACTTTGTCTCTTATTATGACAATAATTTATTACGCCAAGTGACGCTGAAAGATCAGCCAGACCGTATTGAATGGACGCTGCCATTGGTGCAGGCATTTGAATATTTGAAGACAGCACTTGTCTCGTAATTCCTACTTTACATGGTTACGGATTATACTAAATCATTTTCTTTTGTATTGTCAATCTGCTGTAATACATGGCTGCATTATTAGCTCAAGAGCACAGATGCCATGAGGCCGGTAGCATATTTATAAAAAATGATGGGTATCCCGGTCCAGGGCATGCCGGGGTGTCTTCAAGCTTTGTCTGTGTGTGCCTTGGCTGTGGAAATGGTATCTATCATAGTTTTGGGGAACCCATTGGTGTTACACACATCTCATCATGTCCTATTGTACTGAAAAACAGTAATTAGTAAGTAATTAGGAAGTAATTTTGACATCCACCACTGACCTCACAGTTAAATACAGCCCCGTCTACATCAGGACCATCTCTTTTATTGTCCTCCCTGCTTAATCTCCACAACACAAGATCACCAGAATTGCAGGAGGAGCACAATTGCCTGGATGTTATCCAAGCTGACACTTCTCCGCGACTAGACATGTGGGAGACTCTGATTCCTGAGCCCCTGATGTGTTTGTCGATGGAACTTGCACACGCCCTAGTGATGCTACATACATCACAGGCTATGCTGTAGTAGAACACCTCTTATAATGAAACAGGTTCCATCCCCTACCCCAGTGCACAAGCAGCTGAAATTAGTGGCCCCTAACACGAGCTTGCACTCTTTATCAAGATCGAGATGTTAACATATACACAGACTCTAAATATGTCTTAGGGTTGTGCATGATTTTGTCCATATTTGGCAACGCCGTGGTTTCACTACAGCTGATGGCAAGTCATATCCCATCATTCTTTGATTCAGGATTCAGGATTTGCTTGCTGCACTACAAATTCCAAGAAGGATAGCGGTCATTAAAGTGTGGGCACATACTAACGCCAAAGACCCAGTCACAAAAGGCAATGCTATGGCAGATGCAGCTGCAAAAACTGCGGGGCAACTGCATAATCGAGCAGATCTAGCTATGGTAAAGTTGTGCACTCCATCCCTACTGACAAATGAGCTTTTAGGTACACTGCAGGCACAAGCTCGGAGAGTGAAATTGATTTTTGGGCTAGCAGAGGTTTGACACAAGTCAAACATGGTCTTATGTCAAAAGAGGGGATTGTATTACTTCCACAGGCAGCTGCCGTATTATTCATTCAAAATTTTCATAAGGAAAAACAGTGGAAAAAGAAATGCGCATATGATTTTGTGTATGGTTTCTACATGATCTAGTGAAGGAGACATTGGGGAAGGTGCCTTACTTGTTTACAAAACAACCCTGGGCATGGCCAGCATTGGAAACATGAACATTTTAACACCACCTGAGGCACCATTCACACATCTATACAGATAGATTTTACACATCTCCCTAAATCAAAAGAAGCAGATAAGCTTGTTGGCGGGTAGTAGACAGATTTTCAGGTTGGTCGGAAGCTTTCCCATGTAGGAATGAAACAGCGGAGACAGCGGTCCATGTTTTGTGTAAGGAAACCATCCCTAGATGGAGTTGACCTTTGTTCATAGAAAGCGATCAGGGACCAGCTTTTACTGCAGCAGTGACTCAGGGAATCTCAAAGGCTTTAGGTATTTAATGGAAACTCCATATTCCTTACCACCCTCAGAGTTCTGGAGTAGTGTAAAGAATGAATAGGACAATTAAGGATAAATTAGTGAAAAGCCACAGGAGGGACTCTGAAGAATTGGCCAGCTGTGTTACCTGCTATACTAGCTGAAATAAGGATGACACCTCATAAAACAGAGTAAGTTGTCGCCCTTTGAGATACTGATGGTAGACCATTTCCCTACCCCTTGGACTAGACTGCAACCCCCTCTGTGGTAGAAAGGAGATTTAGAGGTGATACAGGCAGAATAAGTAAAAGCATTGTGTGAAAAAGTTGAATAGTGAATATGGTGATGTTGCCGCCTTTTTTCCTTTACCCGCAGATCAACCAACCCACCCCTTCAAGGTGTGTGATCAAGTGGTGATCCGAAGACTGGATCCAAGGGTGAGACCCCGGTTTGGAGAACCTACAGTGATCGTGGCCATTACACATACAGCTGTTCTTACTGAAAGGATCAGGCACCTGGATCCATGCATCAAGAGTCAAAAGGATTTCCCAAGATGAGAGACACAATCAAGCTGATCAACCAACAGAAGAAGGAGCCAAGAACTCTGCTACCCATCCTATTGGATCCCCATGAGGACTGGAAGAACCTGATTATTATCTTAAACAATAGTGACTATTATCATTGTCCCACTCTGGTATCTATGGGAGATTTTCATATGATAGAAAGGGGCCAGTGGTTCAGAAACCCTCTGGGAATTCAGGATGGGTGGGGGGGGGGGGGTTGTACCTCATCACAACTGGATGAGAATAAATCATGTACTACATTAACATGGAATAGCCCATCTGAATCACATCTGGTAAAGGAGCTAACCAAACATATACCCATCTGATACCTTTTAAAGGTCAATGTAAAATAGACATTAATACTACACACAACTTTACATGTTGCATTATGGATGAGTGTAGTCAGGCAAATAACTTGTAAATGGAATGAAGGTTTTCTGTTACATGTTCAGAAGGGAAGCAAAGTGGTTGCTAATTTTGGGTGTACCGTACATGAAAAAGACAGAAGAGGACTACAACTGAAAACATGTCATTACTGAAGTTTAAATAGAAGTATGATAAATTCTCAGGTTTTAAAAGTTGTTGGGTTTGTAGCATGCTCCACCCTGTAAACTATGAGCATACCCATATATGCAGTACCCCTAAATGTCACAACTATGTTGGAGGGTAACCTGAGTATTATAATAACTAATGTTACCAATCTAACCTAAATTTGAGGTATTGGGGGTCGTTATGAAACCCAAATGGTGTTTTCATCTGGGTAAGGGGTCGAGAGAAGGGGAAGAGTTTTGCAGTAAATCTGAATTAAATATTACTGGGAAGGAAACCTACAGGTGGTCATTTTATACAAATAAACTGAGGGGAGAATGGGAGAATTATATTAAAAAAAACTGATTGACCAAAAAGATCACCCGAAACATTACGGATTAAGACAAGTTTTTATTAATTTAGCCCTAGTAGGTTGCCCTGACTCCAATGTAAGCACAGGATGGAAAAGCCAATCAGTAGCTTTTACTCAGGGAGTCCAGGTGTGCTGTGGGAAAGTTTTGTTACCCATGGATTCCCCGGGATCAGGAGGGTTGGTGCATTTGGCCACTTTGGTACCAGTGATGGATGTTATGGAGGAGAACATAGTGATGCCCTATTGGCCAGTAATCATCCTTGGTATCCGCTGAAAACATAGATATAAAAGAGATTTGTTCAAGGTAGAAGACCAGGCTTGGTCATGGTTTGTACATTAATAAGTCTTATTAATGTACAATTACGGGCCTTAAGAAAACAAGTGCTTATTAATGAGATGAAGGTAGAACAAATTGGTGCAGCGCTGACTGGGCTTTGTGAATCCACCACTGATTATAAGTGCTGTACCTGGGTACACAATACAACCGTTGAAATATCAGATTACTATGAAATGATTAATAAGCATAGGGAAAAGGTGGAGGATCTCCAGGCTGAAGCTAGAGCTATAGCCGAGGATGGGTGAATCCCTTTAAGGGATTAGGAGATGGATCCTGGTTTAGGAACATATTCAGTAGATTTAGAAAATTGATCTCCGTCATGATTATGTTTTTCTTACTGATTTTTATGGGATATCTGTTATACCGAATGATCATGTGCATCAAAATGAGAATTAATGAGAAGGAAAAGGAGGAAAAGTTTTTGCTTCAACAATATGAGGAAAATGAATGGGATTGAGACGATAGGGAGAGTGAGTCAATGAAAAATGTTATCACTAAATAAAAGAGGGGACTGAAATGATTAAATGGAATATAAACTGAATCTATTTTGTATACACTAATACAAGATGCTTGTTTAACATACATATATATGAACTTTGTACACAATAACAAAACTGTCTATGCCAGCTTCATGTAGAAATGAGTGTTTTTGCAACATTACAAAAAAAGCAGATAAGCTTTACTCTCATGTCTGAAAAATTGTAACCACAACTTGGGCGTTGGGTCAGATTATAGCCATGGTTTGGGCGTTAGACCAGATATGGGTGACAGATAAAGCAGAAGAGTGAAAATGCAAACCTCATACAAATAATTGTTGCGTTAAGGTAAAAATAATGTACCGTATTTGCCGGCGTATAAGACGACTTTTTACCCCTTAAAAATCTTCTCAAAAGTCGGGGGTCGTCTTATACGCTGGTATAACATGACATGACACTTTTTAGGGGGGCGGCGCGGTGCCGCCGCCGCCCCCCCCCCTTCCCCTAACGGAAGGGACACTAAGTATAGGGGTGGGCAGGGGCTATTTCTTACCTGGTTCCGGTCCCACGACGATCCGGTCCAGGAAGCGCGGCTGCGCCTTCAGTTCGGCCACTGGATGTTCGCGCGGCTGCTCGGCTCTGCCTCCTCACCAGCGATTGGCCGCCAGAACTGTAGCTCAGGAAAGGCACACAGGCGGCCAATCACCAGCGAGAGGGTGGAGCCGAGCGGCCGCGCGAAAATCGAGTGCAGGACCAGCAGGTAAGTGGTCAGTGTAGAGGTGCTGCTGCAACCACATATGCTGGCTGCAGCAGCACCATACGAGAAACAGAGTCAGCAAGTGTCAGTGGGAGGAATAGTGCCCCATCATTGGTGTCACTGATACCAATGATGGGGCACTATTCCTCCCACTGATACCAATGATGGGGCACTATTCCTCCCGCTGATACCTATGATGGGGCACTATTCCTCCCACTGACACCAACGATGGGGCACTATTCCTCCCCCCCACTGACACCAACGATGGGGCACTATTCCCCCCCCCACTGACACCAACGATGGGGCACTATTCCACCCCCCACTGACACCAATGATGGGGCACTATTCCACCCCCACTGACACCAATGATGGGGCACTATTCCTCCCCCCCACTGACACCAACGATGGGGCACTATTCCCCCCCCACTGACACCAACGATGGGGCACTATTCCACCCCCCACTGACACCAACGATGGGGCACTATTCCACCCCCACTGACACCAATGATGGGGCACTATTCCAGCCCCCACTGACACCAACGATGGGGCACTATTCCACCCCCCACTGACACCAATGACGGGGCACTATTCCTCCCACTGACACCAATGATGGGGCACTATTCCTCCCACTGACACCAATGTTGGGACACTATTCCTCCTACTGACACCAATGATGGGGCACCATTCCCCCCACTGATACTAATGATGGGACACTATTCCCCCCACTGATACCAATGATGGGGCACTATTCCCCCCACTGATACCAATGATGGGGCACTATTCCTCCCACTGACACCGATGATGGGGCACTATTCCTCCCACTGGTGTGCACTGGAAGAGGGGTAGTCTTATACGGCGAGTATAGCCCAAACACTACATTTTAGCAGGAAAAGTAGGGGGGTCGTCTTATACGCCCAGTCGTCTTATACGCAAATACGGTACATGTATTTGATTGGATGGTCTGAGGGTGTGTTTGCCCAAAGACTACAGTATAAAAACCCTGATGTTATGCCAATAAAACTGAAGTGTTTGCAATCGCAACTGAGGTGACCTGAGTGCACTCACTTTCCGAGATCTCCTAGCTGTGTCCAGGTGTGGACATTGGTACCTGAAGGGGCCCCCAAGGAACAGGAAAAAGACCACCTACCTACTTGCATATGTAAAGCGCTGCATAAATTGACAGCGCTATATAAGTACCTAAAATAAATAAATAATAAATATGCTAATTTCCACAGGCAGATTTGACCTAACTAAAAGTTTTAACCCCACATAAGTATGGAGGGTTATGTGATACAGGTGTGTATTTATTGTTAGACATTGTAGTACTCATTTATCTTATCTACGTTTAGAGACCAAACACTGACAATGGAACTATTATAGTCCCAGAGGGACCCATTTTATTAACAACTCTCCTAGATCTACAGCTTTCAGGACATGTCTACATTAAGTGTCTGAACAAGGACCTTCGGGGCAGGATCAGGTACAATACTATTTAATGACGGCTGCAATTTTAAAAGAAGTGAAAATTACATTTAAACTTATATTAACATGTTAAAATTGACATGAGATTTTAGAGACTGGATTTATATAAACCCTAATAAATTAACCCACAATACAGTGAGGATGCTGGAGCATCACAAAAGACAACGATTGTAACTCAGAAAAAGTTAGGCTGATCAAATGTTATTGTATGATGAGCTGGAATGTACTACTATGTACAGTGGGGATCGAAAGTTTGGGCACCCCAGCTAAAAATTTGTATTAATGTGCATAAAGAAGCCAAGGAAAGATGGAAAAATCTCCAAAAGGCATCAAATTACAGATTAGACATTCTTATAATATGTCAACAAAAGTTAGATTTTATTTCCATCATTTACACTTTCAAAATAATAGAAAACAAAAAAATGGCGTCTGCAAAAGTTTGGGCACCCTGCAGAATTAATATCTTGTACAGCCCCCTTTGGCAAGTATCACAGCTTGTAAACGCTTTTTGTAGCCAGCCAAGTGTCTTTCAATTCTTGTTTGAGGTATCTTTGCCCATTCTTCCTTACAAAAGTCTTCCAGTTCTTTGAGATTTCTGGGCTGTCTGTCACGCACTGCTCTTTTAAGGTCTATCCATAGATTTTCAATTATGTTGAGGTGAGGAGGTTGTAAAGGCCAAGGCAAAACCTTCAGTTTATGCCTCTTGATGTAATCCCCCATGGATTTCGAGGTGTGTTTAGGATCATTATCCATTTGTAGAAGCCATCCTCTCTTTAACTTCAGCTTTTTCACAGATGGCATCAAGTTACCATCCAAAATTTGCTGAAATTTTATTGAATCCATTTTTCCTTCTACTCGTGAGATGTTCCCTGTGCCACTGGCTGCAACACAACCCCAAAGCATGATTGATCCAACCCCATGCTTAACAGTTGGACAGAGGTTCTTTTCATTAAATTCTGTGCCCCTTCTTCTCCAAACGTACCTTTGCTCATTCCGGCCAAAAAGTTCAATTTTAACCTCATCGGTCCACAGAACTTGTTTCCAAAATGCATCAGGCTTGTCTATATGTTCATTTGCAAAGTTCAAACGATGATTTTTGTGGTGAGGACGTAGAAGAGGTTTTCTTCTGATGACTCTTCCATGAAGACCATATTTGTACAAGTATCTCTTTATAGTGGAATAGTGTACCACAACTCCAGTGTCTGCCAGATCTTTCTGGAGGGATCGTGCAGTCAAACGTGGGTTTTGAATTGTTTTTCTCACAATCCTGCGAGCTGTTCTGTCTGATATTTTTCTTGGTCTTTCAGATCTTGCTTTAACTTCCACTGTTCCTGATGACTGCCATTTCTTAATTACATTCTGAACAGAGGATATTGACATTTGAAAACGCTTTGCTATCTTCTTATAGCCTTCTCCAGCTTTGTGAGCGTCAACTATTTTCAGTTTCAGTTTTCTAGACAACTGCTTAGAAGAACCCATGGTGCTGATTGTTGGGGCAAGGTCAGATGAGTCTGGGCATTTAAAACCTTTGAGATTGACATCACCTGGTCTTCAAAGACGATGATTGAGAACAATCCATGAAACTGGCAGGTCTCAGCTTTGCAAAAGGGGGCAGTGCATGCTATAAATTCTGCAGGGTGCCCAAACTTTTGCAGACGCCATTTTTTTGTTTTCTGTTATTTTGAAAGTGTAAATGATGGAAATAAAATCTAACTTTTGTTGACATATTATAAGAATGTCTAATCTGTAATTTGGAGATTTTTCCATCTTTTCTTGGCTTCTTTATGCACATTAATACAAATTTTTAGCTGGGGTGCCCACACTTTCGATCCCCACTGTATATGAAAGATAAACAAGTGGAATCCTTAACTATAGTAAGGTAAGTAGCAGTAGGTATATTTGCATCAGATTCTGTATATAAAATGTATATCTCTGCTGCTGCCAGCTCCCCAACCTCTTCTTTAAATGTTTAAGTCACCGTATAATGACAAAGTGATGTTTAATGATTCTAATTTATGTACTCAGGATGCACTGCATAAGTGTTCGTTAATGGCAGCAAAACTCTGTCTTTGGAGAGCAGCTGTAAAAAGCAGCCCTAATCATGATGAACTAGTTACATAGTAACATAGTTAGTCTGGCTGAAAAAAGACAAAAGTCCATCCAGTTCAACCAAAAAAAAAAAGTTATAATCCTATACCCACCATTGATCTAGAAGAAGGCAAAAAAAACCACAGCAAAGCATGATCCAATTTGCTCCTGCAGGGGAAATAATCCCTTCCTGATGCCTCGAGAGACAATCAGATATTCCCTGGATCAACTTTATCCATAAATGTTAGTATCCAGTTAGTATCCAGTTATATTTTGTGTATCTAGGAAAGAATCCAGGCATTTTTTAAAGCAATCCACTCAGCTGACCAGAACCAACTCTTGAGGGAGTCTTTTCCACATTTTCACAATGGTTATTGTGAAGATACCTTTCAGTATTTGGAGATTAAATTTCTTTTCCTCCAGATGTAAAGCGTGCCCCCTTGACCTCTGTGATGAACTCAGGGTGAATAGCTCTACACCGAGTTTACTATATGAGCCACTGATGTATACATGTTGATCATTTCCCCCCTTAATCTCTTCTTCTCAAAAGAATTATATAGGACAAAAATTACAAAAAGTAATGTTAGGATAGAACTATTTTTCTTACTGACTAAATCATGAAACCAGTGGTATAGCATCAGATACATTAAAGCCAAATTCCAGGATATATATATTCTTACCTGAATCTTTTTGTGTTTTGTGTATTTTTTCCAGATCGATACAGTAACTATTGTGAAATGTTATATCTGTGCAAAGGCTTCCTGTAATAAAGTCTATTCATTGCTGCTCCCTGTCGTTGTGCAGGATGACTGGTCTCTTAACCACCCCAGTAGTTTTTCTGCAGGTAGCCTGTAGTGGCTGGGCCTGCTGGGTCCCTCTCTCAGCTCTTCTTTCTGCACAGAGTACGTACAGGACAGTGATGATGTCACCACTATTATACAAGTTAGCACCTGAATTTACAAAAGCATTTGATGCACACAAGGTGAATTTTTATCCTCTGTGGCTATTACAGAATATATTTACTGTACATGACAGCGTTTTGTACCCAGAGTTAAACTTTAAAGAACTATCTAAGATCATTTTTATATGTAGCTATTCATACTATACTCTAGTACCACTTTTAAGGTGTTGACCGCTGTTACTATAATGAAATCTGTAATTGAAGGCATGTATCTACGCGTTTTACCCTCCCTTCTTTATGTGCTCATTGGCAGGTGGTTTGTGACACATATGTAAAGTACTGCAGAGCTGGAATATGTAAGGGTGATCTTGGATAAGTGATAAGGGTCAAGAAGAAATGTTCACCCTTGTAAGAGTAGTAGTTCCGCCCAAACGTTTTTTTTTTTTTTTTTAGTTTTATACATGGTAGAGATGGACTCTCTATGTTCTCAATTGCTGCCTGTGTCCCCATTGAGAAGACTTTTCCTGACATTGTCTCCCAAGTGCCTCCAGTCACTGGGACAGCAAGTGGATGAAAATATCTCTATGGAGACACACAAACACCAATAAAAAGTTGACAGAGACTCTAATAGTTCCCTACACTGCCTAGCTACACTTTAATTACTGCTGTCTGTGTCCAGATTCTGGACATTTTACATGCTTCCTGCAGCAGGTGACATCAGGCTACCAGAACAGGGGGTGATGGAAAATTTCCTAAATGTTAACGCAAGCAGCAGCAATCTTCTCCAACTCCATTGAAAACTGTAAAAAGTGTTTTTTTTGCTAGATTTTAATTTAAATGAAATAGGTAACTCTTTACACTAGCCTTTCCCTATCTTTTTAATGTATATGAACCCCTGAAAGTGTTTTTCCTAGAGTCTAATTTAAAGGGAAATAGAATGACTTAGAAAAACAACCTTTTCCTTCCTTGAAAACACAGAGAAACCCGCATAATAACTTTCAGATTGCAGGGAAACACTACTTATAATTGTTATACCACATGGTACATTAGCATGAGCAATAAGTTGCAGATACTAGAAT